CATTATATAGTGTCCTTCCTTATCCTTTGTGGTGGATTTTACTTTAAAGTTTATTTTGTCAGAGATTAATATTGCCACTCCTGCTCTTTTTTGAGTGTTTTTTGCTTGATATATTTTTTTCCATCCTTTGAGTTTTAGTTTGTTTGTGTCTTTATGTCTAAGGTGTGTCTCATGTAGGCAGCATATAGGCGGATCATGTTGTTTATCCATTCTGCCATTCTCTGTCTCTTTATTGGTGCATTTAGTTCATTTACATTCAGCGTAATTATTGATAAGTTATGAGTTTAGTGTTGTCATGTTGATGTTTTTTTGTGTGTGTGTTGTTGACAGTTTCTTTGTTCCACTTAATTTTCTTTATGCATTTTCATTTCATCTTTTTCATTGTTGTTGATTTTGTATTTGCTGAGTATGTTTTTCTTGTTTTTTTATTTTGATGTGTAGGACTGTTAGTTTCATTTGTGGGTACTGTAATATTCACCCTTATTTTTCTAAGTTTAAACCAGTCTTTTATTTCTTTATATCACCTTGACTTCCTCTCCATATGAAAGATCTATGACTACATTTTTTAGTCCCTCTTTTTTGTTTTAATGTTGTCATCTTTTACATATTGATGTCTCTGTTTCCCTTTTTTCAGCATTTTAGCTTTGATTTATTTTTGTGACTTCCCTATTTGGGTTGATATCTGGTTGCTCTATCCTATGTTCTTGTCTTGGGTTGTTATCTGATGTTATTGATTTTCTAACTGGAGGACTCCCTTTATTATTTCTTATAACTTGGGTTTGGCTTTTGCAAATTCTCTAAACCTCTGTTTATCTGGAAATGCCCTAATTTCACCATCATATTTGAGAGACAGTTTTGCTGGATATATAATTCTTGGCTGGCAATCTTTTTCCTTCAAGGCTTTATATATGTCATCCCATTGGCTTCTTGCATGGTTTTTGCTGAGTAGTATGCACTTAGTCTTATTGACTCTCCTTTTTTTATTTTTTAACACATATTGTTCTATGATATTGGTTAACAACCCCACTACATGTCAACCCTCTCCCTTCTCGACCTTTTTTTTTTTTTTTAGTGAAAATATACATAGCCAAAGGTACACCATTTCAAAAATTTCTACATGCACAGTTCAGTGACATCAACTACGCTCTTCCAATTGTGCTGCTATTCTCACTTTAGATGAAGGCTTACAGAACAAAATAGTTTCTCATTAAACAGTTAGTACACATGTTGCCCTATGACAATGGTTAACAACCTCACAAGACATCAACACTATCCTTACTCAACCTTGGGTTCCCTATCAGCAGCTTTTCTGTCCTCTTCTGCCTTCTAGTCCTTGTTATTGACGCTCCTTTGTAGGCAACTTTTGTTTATCCCTAGCCACTCTTCAAATTCTCTCTTTATCTTTGGTTTTGGCAAGTTTGATTATAATATGTCTTGGTGACTTTCTTTTGGGATCTTCCTTATGTGGTGTTCGATGAGCTTCTTGGATAGATATCTTCTTGTCTTTCATGATATTTTCTGTCAACAAATCCTCAACAATTCTCTCTGCATTTTCTATTATCCTCTCCTGTTCTGGTACTCCAATCACTTATAGGTTATTCCCCTTGATAGAATCCCACATAATTCTTAGGGTTTCTTCATTTTTTAAAATTCTTTTATCTGATTTTTCCTCAAATAAATTGGTGTCCAGTGCTTTATCTCATGTCTCACTAACTTCCATTACCTCAATTCTGCTCCTATGACTTTCTATTGAGTTGTCTAATTCTGAAATTTTAATCTTTTGGATTTCTATTTGCTATCTCTCTGTGGATTCTTCCAGCCTATTAAATTTGTCGCTTTGCTCTTGTATAACCTTCCTAAATTCCTCTATTGCTTTGTCTGTGTGCTCCTTGGCTTGGTCTGCATTTTGTCTGGTCTCCTTCCTGATATCTTGAAGAGCTTTGTATATTAATCTTTTGAATTCTATCTCCAGTAATTCTAAGACCTTCTCTTCCTCCAGGAGGTTTCCTAGTTCTTTGTTTTGGTTGCTTGCTGAAGCCATCATGGTCTGCCTCTTTATGTGATTTGATATTGACTGTCGTCTCCAAGCCATCAATAAGTTATTATATTTATTTATTTTATGTTTGCTTATTGTGTCCTAGCTTCTTGTTTTGTTTTGTTTTAGTATTTCCAAATAGGCTGGTTGTGTGAGCTACTTTGTTTATTGGTGTCTTTGAAGCGCTCATGTCCTGTCACCAGGTGGTTAGAGCTGCTACTAGGTATGTGAGCCCAGGAGTCCGTTTACTTTTCTTATGTGGATACAGCTCACGTGTCCAGGTCATTGGTCACCGAGCATGTAGTACAGGCTCTCATGTACAGTCCTAGATGGGCAGGGCTGCATAGGGGTGATTGGAGCAGGCACAGGTATCTGGCTGCTGTAGGGGGTTATGTGATGAGTAAGGTAGGAGGCTGATGTCTTCCCCTGAGTGCCTGGGTGGAAGGCATGTCCCTGTTCCCTAGAGCACGTAGGTGGGTAGGTTTTGCATCTGGACATTGGGCACCCAGTGCTGTCAGCTAAAAGAACTGGGAGGCTCACTTATTCTCGGACCCCTATCGTGGGTGGCTAGGTGGAGTGGGTGGGGCTACCAGTCCTTAGGTCTCTGATGTGGGTAGGTGAGGATCCTGTTTAATGGGCAGGGCGGTGTCAAATGTCGTGTATCTGCCACTCCCCCTTAGCTGTTGCAGTTGAAAATAGGCTTCAAGTATATACACTATCGTACTATACTAATGAGGGCCTACACGGTTGAAATGGGCCCACACAGGTCTAGGCAGGGGTGAAAGGCATTCAAAGTCTGTGGACCACTTATGCCTGTGCCTAGGCAAATGAGCAGCTCCTGCCCCGAGGTCCCAGCTTAGGGGAGCTGGTGGATTCTTCCTTCCTGTTTGTTCGTTTGTTTATTTTTCCCTCTTCAAAGCTGGGAGACTGGCTCAGGTGCACGTGGCAGGTCCCACTTCCAGCCCGGGGGCATGGCAATCACTGCTGACGCAAGACTGGGACCAGAGCAGAGTGGAGTGGAGGTGGATTAAAGAGAGAGAGGCACTTCCCAGAGTAGGAAGGGTTATTTTGATCCCGCATGGTAGGTTAGACACTTCCACTTAACTTTCTCAGATCCAGCGCCACTTCCCCCTGGCTCTGGAGGCTTGTGCAGACTCTTCACTGCTTGGTTTCTCTCAACGTGGAAAATGCATCCCAAGTGCTACTGCTTTCCTCAGCTTGTGTGCGCCAGCCGATCCAGCCTGTAGGGAGTTGGCCAGGTCAGGTCTGGAAAATCGTCGCTGCTTCTGAACTGTCTTTCCCTCTCCCAGCCACTCAGTCTAGCTCCTCAACTTTGTTTTTGATGTTCAGGGCTCCTAGATTGTCATATATAATCAATTCATTTGTTTTCTCGGGTCTTTATTGTAAGAGGGACCACAGGAAGCATCTGACTATTCTGCCATCTTGGTCCCACCTCCAGGATTAATTCTTATTGGTGTAAGTTTCTAACTAAATTTAAGCTCAGCATTTTAAGAGTGTTAGATTCCTCAAAAACATCCAAACCATTTCATTAATTCAACATCTAGCACCAGAAAAAAAAATCAGAGATTTTTTGAGTCTTTTATTTTAAGAGTTAAAATAAAGTCAAATCAGTCCCTTGATTACATGCTGGCCAGTCTTCATCTATAAATCAAAGTTTGAGGCTATTTTTTCAAAGTTTTAGCCTGTCTTTCATCAATGTTCTGTACTTCATGGAAACACACACACATACATACATACGCATCTGTACAGGAATTCATGTACATATCCATCTACACACATCCATAAATGTGAATATATATATATATATATATACACACACAAACATATATATGTGTGTGTGTAAGGAGCCCTGGTGGTGTAGTGGTTAAGCACTTGGTTGCTAACCGAAAGGTCGATGGTTCAAATCCACCAGCCACTTCACAGAGAGAAAGATGTGGCAGTCTGCTTCCATAAAGATTACAGCCGTAGGAACCCTATGGGGCAGTTCTACTCTGTCCTATAGGGTTGCTATGAGTTGGAACTGACTCGATGGCACACAACAACAATAACATATATGTGTGTATATAAATACGTATATATATATAGAGAGAGAACATGTAAGCTTAACACAGCCCTAAAGTAAAGCTATCTTTTAAAAAAAAAAATGCATACCCTATTACCTGCAACAAAGATTTACAATCCATACATTTTATGCCTGGCTGATCCTTAACTTATCCCAGCACCAGAGCAGAGACTCATATTGTAGAGTTGAGTAAATGGTGATTAGCTACAATTTTATTTAGCTGTTTGCACTGCATTCTTTATATGGAGATGATATTTATGACCTTTACCTGTCTCTTTTCTCCTTAACAGCCATCACCGGAAAGTTCCATGCTGTCAAATGGTAAGGAAAGTTTAATTTTGCCCACAAAAGAGACTGAAAAGCAGTTACAAAGCCCAGAAGCCAAGGTGCCACATGAGGGTTGCAGACATATGAACAACCGCGGAAGCCATTATTTCACTGGGCCTATGTAAAAAGACAACCCGAGGGCTTCAGTAACGCACACTCAAAACCAACATCAGATAATGCTTTGAAACCATCTTTCAAATGAACTGTCTGGGTGTCCTATAGTTCATCAAAGGTTTCCTGTCTCCAAAAGGTCAACGTTGTATCCCTTACCCTTTCTGAATCTCAGAATATCTTTTCAGCTCCTCATTTCAGAAAGGTGAGCAGGTGTCTCTCAGTCCTAACAATCATGATTCCACAGTTCACAGATTCTTAAGATAAATCATTAGAGTGGTATCATATATAGTCTTTTGTCTGTTTTTTCAGGCTCAAGTTTTAAAAAAAAAAAAAAACTCAATAGTTTTGGAATAGCTGGGAGTGCTAAAACCTCGATTAAATGAAGTGGGGTCAAAAAGTTGGGATAACATGGACCTCAACTTCCCTGCTGACTGATAAAATAGTCCTTTCTTTGAATTCTGACTTTATAACTTTTTAAATAATTAGATTCTAACAACAATGCTTCACAGTCCCTGGGTGGTGTACACAGTTAACATGCTCGGCTACTAACCAAAAAGCTGGAGGTTCAAGGCCACCCAGCGGTGCCTCAGAAGAAAGGCCTGGCAATCTACTTCCAAAAAATCAATCAGTGAAAATCCTGTGAATCACAACAGTCCAGTCCTGTTGTGCAGGGGGTCGTCATGAGTCAGAACCATCTAACTGCAGCTTAGTCAGCATTGGCACTGCCTAATTTTTATTCTGATATATTGGGCATCTACTAAATAAATATGTGTCATGTCCCTCCCTTCTTACTAAAAGGTTCTAGTAAGTCCATTTCAGATGAAACCTTTGCACACATCAGTTTTCTAACCATCTGCTATTTAGGAACAATGGCAGGCACTGGCTGGGATGTCATTCATAAAGCAATTCCTTCCAAGACTGTCATCACACAATTGGCCTGGGCAGGACAGCTGAATAATAAATAAGCAGTTGTGTCCACTCAGGCTCGGTTATTTCCTTTTTCAGACAATGCCTAAGTTAGGGCTTTTTAACTCAACTTTAGAAATAAAGGAATTAATAACAAGAAATTCACACTGGAGTAAATTATACACAGATTTGGTAAAATGATCAATGCAAGTGTTTCCACCATATACCGTATAGTTGTCATCCCCATTCTGACCATCAAGCCTGCTTCACTAGGGAGATGGTCATGATCTGTGTGTGTCTGGTGTCTTGGCCACCACCCTGGTCTGTCTGATCCTGTCTGCTCTGGCCCTCTTTGTGTGTGCGTGTGTGTGTGTGTGTGTGGTGTGGGACTGTAGCCTCCCTATGCCTTTATTGAATTGCAAGAGCTTTGTTGACTGAGCCACAAGCTTAGATTAATAGAGCTTTTCTAACATTTCTGCCTTTGTCCTCTGCATTCACTAACACTGCTTTTTTAACTTTTCTTTACCCTTTTGCACTCTGCATAACCCTGGGCCAGATGAGGTCGGTCACCTCGCCCTGGGCTCAGTGATTATGTTGCCCCTGGAGCATTCCACTCCCTTTATAATGTTACTCTCTGCATCTGTTGTCAAAACTAAACTTCCTGGTCACGCTGCCTCAGTCCTTGTGGTCTTCTCTGTCTCTACTGGTCACCTGCCAATGTGACCAGAGGCCATGTTGTTGACTCTACGCCTCACAACCACCTGGCCAGACTGGCCTAACTTGTCTGCTTCTTTAAATGATGAACAGGACTACTTACCCACCCCCAGTTTCGACGGGTGGGGAAAAACCCACTTTCTGGCTCAATATGCCAGAGAAAACAGTCCCCCAAGAAACAAAGCAACCCTTTTGTTCCTGTTTATGATAATTCCTGCTTTATCCACTTCAACACATACTTTGCATCCCAGCAGCGCCTGAGGATTAGAGGAGCTGGCTACTGAGTCACTGTGAGTGCTGCCTTCCCAGCTGCTGCCTTTCAGCACTTAACCCCACGAACCCTTGCCTCCCACTGTGTAGAATACATAAGTGTGGATCTGTAGGAATAAAAGTCAGTGATTCTTATCAATCCCTCCATCTGGCCCCAAAGAAAGACAGTCTGTCCTACAAAAACCGCAACTAAAAGGAGAGGCACTGTAACAGTTATTAATCACAAACATTTATTAAGCACTGACTATTTTCAGGGCATTCTGTAAGGCGGAGGGGACAGAGATTCCACAGACACTGCACTCAGAGCGTCCAATCTAGTGGGAAGATATATACATATATAGTGTTAATTTCTTCCCGCATCATAGACCTATTCACTCACAAATAGTTACTGAGCATCTCCATGTCAGACACTGTGCCATGAGCTGGTGAAGGAGTCTAATATCCGTACACCAATATGAATTGGAATCGACTCAACGGCAATGGGTAATGGGTAATCTGCAGATTACAAAGCACTTCCACATATATAATCTGACCTGATTTATTTTAGGGCCCTGGAATGTGAGCAATATCTAACTAATAACGGCTTTTCTATCTTCCTAAAACTGAAAAGCTCCAAAGCAAGGATATTGCTTAATATGGATCAAGTTCTAGGCAAAACTGTGAATCTTTCTTCATGGATCACATGGTTGGGATCCTTTCCACTGGCCTGCAGCACCCTGTAACCCCAACCTTCTCTCCTGCCACTGCCCTTTCCCATACTGTCTACCTCTGGGGAGGGAAAGCAATATAGTGCTTAAGACGCCAGATCTAGTTTAATTCTGGCTCCACCCTGCTGGCTCTGTAACTGTGAGCAAGCAACTTAATCTCCCTCTGCTTCAATTGCTTTATCTGCAAAACAGGAATAATCACCAGTTCCATATCATAGGTTAAAGGAGAAACACATGAGTTTTCAATCCTATCAATTCCTTCATGAAACAAAACTTTACCATGAAAAGTTTAGAACAGGGCTGGTACCTCATAAGCACTCAACAAATGTGAATTATTTTTGTTATTCCCTCAGGTTCTCTAGACATCCCAGAGTAAAACACTATGAGCAATGAACTCACAGGAGAGTACAAATAACCAGTAAAAAATATGGTGGCTATATCTGGCTTTTTTTACAAAAGTGCCTAAAGATTATGTTCAAAGGACTGAACTACTTGTGGCCCAATTTCAGGGACTGTAATAGCTGAGTGGAGAAGAAGCTGTGTTCCTGGAGGATTCCCTTATCCAGTGATGGGCTGATAAATGTTTAACAACCAGGTCTCTGGGAGAAAAATGCCTTGGTTTATAACATTTGCCAATTTCTGTGGTATAAATACTTCCACAGTTGCCGATTTCAAACTATCCACTGTGATGTCATCAAATGTGGAGTTGGGAAGAGGTGCAGAGTAGCACTCTGTTAGAGTATTCCCACCATACAGACAGAAACATAAGTAACCTTGAGAACACAGTAAGATGTAGTAAAATAATTTGGAAGCAATGTGTTTTGATTATCTGTTGCCCTTGTTTGAAAATAATATTTTAATTGTATAAGTTCATAAAATATAATTTTTAACAACTGGCTCTCAGAATTCCTGAAAAGTGAACAAGTAACCTTTTCAAGCCAGCTCCAGCACATCACTGCATGTCACAAAGACAACATGTGCAGTAGAACATGAATGACGGCTCTCACAGCTCCAGTCCTAGAAATACCAATTGACAAGGACACAAATACAAGTTATTGTGCATGAAGATGATTAGTTCTTGTCCTTTCTTGTGTCTTCCTCCGGTCTTCTGGTTCTCAGAATCATGGCCTATCAGACCCAGGCAAAAATATACAAGGGAGGTGTAACTGTGGGCAAAGTTGTGGCAGGAGGTAAGGCAGCTAGATCTATGGGATACCTCCCAAACTGGACCCCAGGAAAAGTAGAGAAGAAGCCTCAACTCTCATAGCCCCTGCTATAGGAAGCTCTGTCACCAACCCAGATTGGGTAAGGGAAGGGCCAGGGTTTTTGTGACCAGTTTACTTAGGTGTTGTCTCTTCCTGAGCCTTTGGGAAGGTGTCCAACAGCCATTGCCCTTTCCCGTCTCCAGCTGTTCTGTTATTGCACATCGCCTCCCTCTGATTCTTTAGTCTCTTCATGAATCCTTCATAGAAGTTCCCTTGACCCTCTGAACTGGGTCACTGCAGTCCCCCACCCCCCACCGCTGCCTACAACCAGGGCAGCATCAAAGCCCTCATACAATTGGTTGTAATTACTTGTTGGTGGTCTTCCCTGATAGCTAGACGATGAGCTCCTTGAGAGAAAGATAGTTTTGCAAAGAGAAATCTTTTGCAAAAGGCATACATTTTATTATATAATCATCCCCAAGGTTGTAAAACAGCCTTACTAATGATTTTTAAAATTTAGTTAAGCTGTACATTTATAACTAATTTCATACTATTTCTGTTGAGAAAGAAGTTGTAAGGCATTCAAGTGAAAGACATATGTAGAGATCAGGACATACTTGGTCTACTGTATTCAACAGAACAAGAGCAACATTATCGGTAAAAGAAGCAGCATCTACCACGTATTTTTCAAAGCAATGTGCTCTGTTCTTTATATATATATATATTGTATTTAATGCACACAACTTTATAAGAAGGTATAATTGTCCCTGTTTTGTGGATAAGGAAAAGAAGCTTCAGCTTAAAGTCACTTGCCAAAGATCATACAACCTAAGACTTGTTCCTTATATTTCCCACATGTCTGTCAGTTTGTCATACTGTGGTGGTTTGTGTGTTGCTATATTTCAAACACCAGCAGGGTCACCCATGGTGGACAGGTTTCAGCAGAGCTTCCAGACTAAAACAGACTAGGAAGAACGGCCTGGCAGTCTACTTCTGAAAAAAATTGGCCAGTGAAAACCTTATTAATAATATGCACCAGATCATAGTAAAA